TAATCACTGATGTAATTTTTTTATTTCCTTCTGATACCCTTGGTCTGTAATAAGCTTTGTAAATAACTTTGTAATAACTACTTGGGTATAGTGAAAGGGGATGGGACTGTATGCATGCCAAAGGGGTAGAAATCATGTCTATAGGATATTCACCCTTTAAATTCTGCATTTTCACATAGAAATCATGTCTATAGGATATTTACCCTTTAAAATTCTGCATCTCACATAGAAATCATGTTCATAGGATCATTACTTTCAAACTCTGCATTTTCACGTAGATACCATGTCTATAGGATATTTACTCTTTAAAATTCTGCATCTCGCCTAGAAACCATGTTCATAGGGTTATCACTTTCAAAGCCTGCATTTTTTCACATAGATACCATGCCCATAGGTTTTCTGCACTTTGTAATAATACCATGGCAATAAATCGATAATGAAGCTCTGCATATTGTATAGATGATATGCCTATAGGACTTCCTGCACTTTGCATATACATTGTTCATTAGGCAAGCCTGCTTANACTATCATTTTGGTGAGTAATTTTTTTCCATCCTCATATTTACACCACAATATAATTAAGGTGATTTTTGCATATTTTTATAAATTTATTTGATATTTTTAAGCTAAATTGCATAAAATTACAATTATAGCCTATATTACGATTAATAGCGTTTTACAACTATAAAATTGTTCCCAGTATTTTTAGATTAACGTTTATATATTATTAATTAATTCAGTTCTTTCAATTTGCTTTCAAACTCATTTTAACTATTTTAATTAAATTTAAAAAGGGAGAATTGGCTATTTAATATATAGCCCATTACCATTTCAATTTTAGCCAAAATCAAACCCCCAATTTCCCAGCCCTATTTTTGATTCAAACCTGACCCAATTCCTAAATTACCTGCCCCCGACCCACTCAAATAACGCGCCCAGTCCTTTTCTTTTATTCCCAGCCGTTGATCTAACAGATCAACGGCTCACACGCATCCTTTCCTTTTTTAATCCACCAACACCCTCAACCCTAAATCATTTCCCCTTTACCCGCCGCCCTTGAATCCCTTTCCTCTCCAACACCCGCCATTTCTGGCCATTTTCGGCCTTGCTCCGGCATATTCTAGTCTCCTGAGTCTGGTTCTGACTTTATCCGACTTAGATCGGATCTTTTTAAAGCCTTTCTCACTCTAGTGTTCTTTCGAAACCCTAACTATTCGAGGTTTTTCTCCGATTCCTTTTCTGTTATGTATCTATGCTATGCGTGAATTTTTTTACGATTTCCCTAAGTTTTCCTTTGAAAATTGCTTTCAAAACCCTTCTTTTCCGATTTAGGGTTTCTGGAAAGTATTCAAGTGTTTTTATGATTTTTGCTTTCTTTATTATTTGTATTTTTTCTCTTATTGTGTTCCTGTATCATGTTCTCACTCGCTTTCCACTAAGTTCTTATACTTGCTCTATTATGTTCTTAGGTGTTCTTCTACTGAGTTTCATACTCCATGATTGAATGTTCTATTGCTGTGTTTTCTATACTCTGTCCTGGCATATTCTCCTATTGTGTTTTCTACGCTATGATTCCCGTTTTTTTACCATGCTCTGCTATCTCCATCCTCTATAAGCATGTATTTCTTCTACTGTTTCTTCTACTGGTTCTTCTACTGTTTCTTCTACTGTCAGTTGTTCCCTCACTACGCTTCGACACTAGTTTCCTCACTCCGTTTGCTTTGATCTTTCTACTTGTTTGCGTGCTTTCTTACGAGCTTCTAAAAGAAGCCACTAAGCCTGTTTTGACTACTTGCCTCTCCATCTCCGCATTCGATTCTTTCTACTGATTTTACAAGGTCATGGCAAAATTCTTCGTGTTAGGCATGTTTGTGTGCTTTTATATGTATGTTGAATCTTTCTTTAAAAGGATTTCAACTAGTAATTGAATCAGAATCTTTTTGGGGGCTTTAATTGATTGTATTAATTTTCCTTGAGTAAAACCTTTTTCTTCACACCAAATATTTGGACTTGTGATTTCGTGGCTGTCAATTGATTCTCTTTCCTTAATTATACAACCGTGTACTTTCAGAAAACCTTGTCCTTAAAATAACCTTTTATGTATTTACCCTCAATTGCATGCTTTGCACAAAGAGTTTGATCAATTTCTTTCCTTAGTTGGTTTTATACCCGTTTGAATTTGAATCCCTTAACTAAAGGGAGTCTTATGCGACTGATTGAAAATCAAACTTCAATTAATTTCTTACCTTATTTCTCATGACTTTCACACTATAAATACCCGGCCTTTTCTTTTCACAACACACGGAATACACTTCAGACTTCACGCTTATAATTCTCACAACCTTTTCTAAATTTTCTTGTCTGCACTTTGGCTTTCACAAGATCGCCGCTTTCTTTGGTTATCTTTTTAAAAACTGGTATGTTTTGATTCAATTCCCAACATCATCCCAATGTGTTTATTTACAGTCTTTTCGCCTATGTCTACCTTCTACAGAATTTGACATTGAAATGCTTATGTGCTACTGTTTGCTTTACTTTCTTGTAAACACTAGTTCCCCATCCCATTTACCCCCATATGTTTGTCAGTGGGGACTCAGGGCATGGCAACAAGAATTGTTGCTCATGAACTGAGTTCTAACCCCCCTAAGTAGGCTAAAGGGTGTGCCAGTATGTCCCATTGTTGGGTATGCCCTTGCCTGCTCCTTTCTTGAGTCCTGCTTGTTATGAATCCCCATATCCCCACTCCCCCATGTATGCTGAGTTAATGTATAGCGTGGCAGCATCCCTATTGCTGTCCAAGGCTGAACCTGACCTTCAATAGGTCTTAACTCCCCAAGTTCAACTGACAAGCTGGTCAGGGGTGTGCCAGCACCCCAAAAATGCTTGGCATGACCACCAGCTTGCCATTTCCCCTCTACTGCACTTGCACTTACTCCTAGTCTCTAAGTTCTGCCCCCCTCCTATGAGCCTTGCTTTGGGACCTCGAGTTCCCTCTGAACTTGGACATTTGAGGGTTGGCCTTTCCACACTGCACTATGTTCTTAACTCTGCAATGATATTTGGGGTGTAAGAATTGCCTGGAATTCTTGAAGTTCCTTGGAACTTTGACACATCCCAAATAAGAGAAAGGCTTTGAAAATCCGATCCTGGAAGTTGGTTTATCTCATATTATTAGACTTTGAGTCTGAATTAGGCTGATTAGATGTAGATGTAATCACTGATGTAATTTTTTTTATTTCCCTTCTGATTCGCTTGGTCTGTAATAAGCTTTGTAAATAACTTTGTAATAACTACTGGGGTATAGTGAAAGGGGATGGGACTGAATGCATGCCAAAGGGGTAGAAATCGTGTCTATAGGATATTTACTCTTTAAAATTCTGCATTTTTCACATAGAAATCATGTCTATACGATATTTACCCTTTAAAATTCTGCATCTCACATAGAAATCATGTTCATAGGATCATTACTTTCAAACTCTGCATTTTCACGTAGATACCATGTCTATAGGATTTTACTCTTTAAAATTCTTCATCTCGCCTAGAAACAATGTTCATAGGGTTATCACTTTCAAAGCCTGCATTTTTCACATAGATACCATGCCCATAGGTATTTCTGCACTTTGTAATAATACCATGGCAATAAATCGATAATGAAGCTCTGCATATTGTATAGATGATATGCCTATAGGACTTCCTGCACTTTGCATATACATTTGTCATTAGGCAAGCCTGCTTATAGGAGTTAAAATAACTCATTACATATAGATAACCTTCCTATAGGATCTCTGCGCAAAAATCTGTTACACCTAGAAAGCATGCCTATAGGGACTATCAACTTAATCAGAATCGCCACTCGTTCCTAAGTTTAAAATCAGTGGCAATTTGTTTAACACTCGTAGAGCTTATAACTAATGACTCTTTTGCAATCAGTTATTCCTCCGTCCCTGGATTAATAGATATCATGTCTATAGGCCCTGTTTTAGATAATTAATCAACTGTAAGTTTTCGACAACTACATCTAAGCACTACTAATCGGGACTCCCTATCTGGGAAATATGTGGTAAATCAATTCTTCCTACGCTAATTTTAATTAATGACCTAAACAGTATGTGTAAGACATGCTAAACAATTCGTTTCTTTAAGTGAGGAGGCCTACTTGAGCCTTTAATTGTTCTTATTTCCCCCCATTAACTGCTTTATGTGTTTTGTTTGTCGCCCTATAATTTTATCCTTTTAAAACCCCTGAAAAGCCAAGCTCCCTCCCTTTAGGATTAGTAGTCCTAAATGCCTCCGGGACTGATAGGTGAGACGGGTAATAGCATGCAGTAGGTAACGATACCATTCCGCGCTTAAATACCTTAACGGGGTGAGAAGGGTAGACATGGAAATGATGGTCACATGATAACACTATGCGTACGATTGATTACCGGTGTTGTGTGGATGACCCATGTGTTTTACAAACTTAGGACCCCCTTTTCTTTATGTGACTTTGTTTAATATCAATAAAATTTTGTCTTTTCAACTACCCAAACCCCTCTTTTATTTTACTGCATTATTCCTTTTCCCCTAAATTTTTCTTATTTGTTTATTCAATGTCTTGATTAATTTTTTGCATTTAGACCCTCCCTCAAACAAATTGTAGATGATCTAGACCTTGATTCCAACATGCTTGTTACGTATCTATTTGTAACCCTTATGTGTGAAGTTATTTGTATACTTATTTGCATTAAAGTCACAACATAGCGTGGCCGGGAACCACACTAGTGGATCTTGAGGGGTGCCTAACACCTTCCCCTCGAGATAATTTCTAGCCCTTACCCGAACTCTGGTTTTCAAATTCAAACTCTTAGTGTCCTAATGCACTTAATCATTAGGTGGCGACTCTTCAATTCCAAAAGCCCAATTCCCACACGGGAATAGAGTTGTCTTCTCAAATGTCGTAAACTCGATTTTGCGAGAAAAAGGGGGCGTCGATAACCGGGACAAAAGACGAATTACTGATGGCGTACTTCAGCCAGAGTCTGAGTGGGGCAGCTTTAGAATGGTACACCCGCCAGGACGCCAGCAGGTGGTACACATGGAATGATATGGCTCAGGCTTTTGCCCGGCACTTTCAGTACAATATAGACATTATCCTAGATCGCCTATCTCTAACCAAGGTGGAAAAGAGGCCCGGTGAAAGCTTTAGAGAATATGGGTTCCGATGGAGTGAGGAAGCTACACGGGTCAATCCTCCGATGGGAGAAGACGAGATGGTTGAATACTTTCTTCAAGCCCTGGATCCTACTTACTTCGGCCATTTGATCTCAGCCATTGGTAAGCCTTTCAATGATGTAGTAAAGATAGGAGAAATGGTGGAAGAGGGACTCAAGTCGAGCAAGATCATGAGCTACTCCGCTATAAAAGCAACCACACAGTCAATCCAGAGTGGTACCGGAAGTTTGCTAGGCAAGAAGAAGAAGGACGATGTCGCTATGGTTGTTTCTGGACCATGGCATGGCCAGAGGGGTTCACCTCATCAGTACACCCATCCTCGACCCCAACCTCAAGCCTACACCCAAGCTCCATATAATCCACCCCAACATTACTCTTCCCCGCAAGACCCCCAATACTCAGCCAGACCACCCCAATACCATGTTCACCATGCACAGTCATATGCTCAACCCCCTCCTTACCTGCAATGGTGTGCTCCAGCTCCACAAAATATTTATCCACCTCCACAACCCTACCAAAACCCTACTGGTCCAAATTTTCGACCAAGGCTGGAGTATAGAATAGAAAGGCAGCAACGGAAACAAACTTTCACCCTGCTTGGAGAGTCCTATGCCAGTTTATTTCAAAGGTTGAGGCAGTTGGGTATCTTGAGGCTGATTGAGTCAAAGATACCAAATCCCCCTCTAAAGAACCTTGATTATTCCCTCAGGTGCGCCTATTGTTCTGATACTCCAAGGCATGACATAGAGAAGTGTTGGCATTTGAAAAGGGCAATCCAGGAGCTCATTGATACAAACCAAATTGTAGTCCAAAGCCCAGACACGCCGAACATCAACCAAAACCCTTTGCCAGCCCATGCACAGACGCATATGATTGAAATAGTTCATAAGGATGGGGAGCCCAGGAAGTCTTCCAAGTCTGTCGTGATGATTCGGGCCAGTGAAAGTAATTTGGTTAAAGCTCCAGACTCTACCAAGCAACGCCCTTGATATTTGAAAAGGGTGACAGAGAAGCTGAGCTCGCTCAATTTGAAGCCACCGGTGTTGGTTGTGAAAGGGCCTTCAAAGATATTGGGGCAAGTCAGGAAAATCCAAAAGTGGTAGTGCCAGGGGTCCCAAGTAAGCCTATCATAGTTGTGAAAGGGGCTCCTATTACCCCTATTATCATCAAAATAGTGACCCGGCTGCCAGTGGTTGATACCAAGGTTGTTCCGCGGAATTACAAACAAGTGATAGTGACATACAAAGGAAAAGAGATGGAGGATGAAGTCAATGAAAATAGAGGATTGACTCGTTCTAGGAGATGTTTTACCCCAGAAGAATTAAGGAAAGCCAAGCCGTTCAAGGATAGTCAAATACCAGTAAAGAAATTGGTCGCCGAAGAAAAGGCTGAAGAGTTCCTGAAAAAGATGAAAGTGCAAAACTATTCCATTGTCGAGCAGTTAAGGAAAACACCGGCTCAGATCTTTCTTTTGTCTTTGCTGATACATTCAGATGAACATCGCAGAGCCCTGATGAAGATTTTGAATGAGGCACATGTTCTTGATAAGATCACAGTGAATCACTTGGAAAAGATAGCTAACAAGATCTTCGAAGTAAACAGGATCACTTTCTCAGATGATGAACTTCCTATGGAGGGTATAGAACACAGAAAGAAAAGAATTTGACGATGAAGTGCAAAGATTCTATCGTTTCAAGGGTTCTGGTTGACAACGGCTCTAGTGCAAATATTTGCCCTCTATCTACTCTGCAAAAGTTGAAAACCGGCACTGAAAGAATCTACATGAATCGTGTATGTGTTCGAGGCTTTGATGGGGGAGGTAAAGATTCTGTTGGAGATATAATGCTCGAATTGTCGATATGGCCAGTTGAGTTCACCATGGAATTCCAAGTGTTAGATGTAGTTGTCTCCTACAATCTGTTGTTGGGTAGGCCCTAGATACATGCTGCTAAGGCAGTGCCATTATCTCTGCATCAAATGGTGAAGTTCGAATGGGACATGCAGGAAATAGTTGTGCACGGTGATGAGGATTTATCAGCTTGTAATGACACAATTGTTCCGTTTATTGAGGCTGAAGATGATAAGGGACCTTGGGTCTATCAAACTTTCGAAACAGTGTCTGTTGAGAAGATTCCTGAAGGAAAATGCATTCCAGGTCCTAAGTTATCCTCCGCGTCTGTCATGGTAGCAAATGAAATGTTGAAGAATGGTTTTGTCTCGGGTAAGGGTTTGGGCTCATCTCTGCAGGGTATTGTGCATCCAGTGCGCCCCAGTAGAAATCTTGGTACATTTGGTTTGGGATTCATGCCCACAGAGAAGGACGTGAAAAGGGTTAAAAATCTGAAATAGAAGGCATGGTCACTCCCTAAGCCTGTCCCACACATCTCTAAGTCTTTTGTCAGGCCAGGGGCAAAAAAACCTCCAATATCATCAGTGCCAAAACCTGTGGTCGATGTTGATGAAGAGCTGATCAAGAAGTTCCAGAGTCTGTTCGATGAGGTTGATATGGTAGAAGTTGGTGAAGGTTCTAGTAAAGCAGATGTGCAGCTCGTTGGGCCAAATGTGAAGCTTAGCAATTGGAAAGCTACTCCTCCCCCCACCAGGAAGGAGTTTTGGTAGTTTGCTTTGTTTTCCTTTCTGTTATCTAGGTTATCCAAGGTTGTAATCCAGATTTTTATTTTTTGCTAAATACATATGCAAACCCCTAAAGTTGGTACAAATTTTCATTTAGACACTTTAACTGACCCTATTACCTATTGNTCATACCCCTCTTTTGGAATCAGGAGTAGAACTAGAAAATAAGAAAAAGAAAAAAAAAGAGAAAAAGAAAAAAAAGAGAAAAAGAAAAGAAAAAGAAAAAAAAAGAGAAAATAAAGAAAAAAAAGGAAAACAAAAAGGAAAAACAAAAAGAAAAGAAAAGAAAAATAAAAGAAAAGAAAGAAAAGCAACAAAAATAAACAACTTTTGTTTGAACTACGTTCGACCTGATTCCTTTTAAGGATACGTAGGCAGCCTTACACGGTTCGGTCCGCTCAAAATAAAAATCCAAAATTCCCCAGACCCAAAGAAACTGGGGCAGAAGTTTTGATTTTGCAAAAGATCTGATTCCAAAAGTTGTAATTTTGAACCCTTTTCATCTTAAATTATTTTGAGCCTTCATGCCACCCTTTCTTTCTAGCCTTGTCCAAAAGCCTACATTACAGTCCAAAGAAATACCTTCCGATCAATCTTTGAGGATGACAAGTCAAGCGAGATAGAGGTATGATTTACAACATGGGTAACACTCTGTTCATGGGCACAAAGGAAAAATGAATAAAATTAGAGAGTCTTATTGGTGAAAACCCTCACGGGCACCGTAAGACGATGGTGAGCTGAGAGAAAATTTAAAACGAGAGAGTCTTATTGGTGAAAACCCTCGCGGGCACCGTAAGGCGATGGTGAGTTGAGAGATGAACAAATGAGAGAGGCTTGTTGGTCAAAACCCTTTGGGGCACTACAAGTCGAATGAGGCTCGTGACTTTACAGAGAAATTGGATCATTGAAAGCTCGGTTTTGAAGTATGAAGACATGACATGAACTGAAAATATGATTGGTTGGACGGATTAGGCTGATCAATCCGAAATGCATGTCGTGATCATTGGAGCCAGCCGCTTCACTCAGATAAGTCTTTTTTTCCCATTCTTCTTCACATAGTCATCTTTGTTCAAAATTTTCCTTTGTTCTTTTTGCCAAAAATCACTTCACTTTGCTCTTTGAGTCTATCTTTATGAGTCTCTTTCGAGTTATCCCTTTTTGAACAAGCAGGAAAGGATTCCAAAGCCTACTACCAACTTTTAAATTGCACAAAGCGGAGTTCGGCCAAGCACATCACAAGTGACATGATTTAGAATGAGCAGTATGGTGATAACTGAAGTTCAGGTGATAAGGTGATTCTTGAATTTTGAGAAAATACAAAGATTCAACAACTTTCAGAATGAAAACACAATGCAACAAGTGAGTGTAAGAGATTCAGGTCATTCAGAGGTTTTATGGTCCAATCTCGATCAAAAGGTCAAACAATTCCTTGCTGGCCCGAAGCAGCTAATCAGAATGAAGCATGGCATTGGCAGAAGCGGACACACATCAATGATGCCACAAACTAATCACCACATTTTCAAACTAATAAGATTTTGTTTGTCTGAAACAGGGGCAAGAAAATTTGTTCAATCTGCAGGGACCCTCCATGAGGAAAGCATGATTCAGGGGCAAGGATTTTGTTCTTTGTGCAGAGATCCTCCAGGAAGAGAGCATGGCTCAGGTAAGTTCATTCTCGGCTTCTCAAGACCCTCCTGGATAATGGAATTTAGTTTTTAAAATTTACAGGACCCGCCTGGATAATGGGATTTAGTTTCAAATTCTCAAAGATTTAATTTTAAGTTTTCAGGACCCTCCTGGATAATGGGATTTAGTTTTGAGTTTTCAGGACCCTCCTGGATAATGGGATTTAGTTTTAAGTTTTCAGGACCCTCCTGGATAATGGGATTAGTTTTCAAGTTCTCAGGACCCTCCTGGATAATGGGATCTAATTTCAAATTTTCAAGGATTTAGTTTTAAGTTTTCAGGACCCTCCTAGATAATGGGATTTAACTAACACTCACAAATGTTCCTGGTACCAACTGGGGTAGAAGATTTTCCTTGTTTTGTCTGTTTTGTTGCAATTGCAGGCGCCCACCTGGAGAATGAGGGAATGCATTTCAAGTTTTAAGCAAGCCGAAGGCACCCACCTAGAGAACGAGGGAATTCATTTCAAGTTTTAAGCAAGTCGCAGGCGCCCACCTGGAGAACGAGGGAATTAATTTCAAGTTTCAAGTTAGTCGCGGGCGCCCACCTGGAGAACGAGGGAATTCTTTTCAGTTTTAAGACAGTGGCAGGCGCCCACCTGGAGAACGAGGGAATTTATTTCAGAGTTACTTTCAATTCTCAAATTCAAGAGGCATCAGGAGCCCGCCTGAAGAACAGGGTCAACTTTTAATTTCCAAGTTCAAGTCAGAGAAGCATCAGGAGCCCGCCTGAAGAACAGGGTCCATTTTTCAGTTTCATGTTGAAAAATCAAGTAGAAATTCAAAGAAGATTCAACACAAGAAGTAGATAGGATCTTGTATTTTTCTTTTATTTTTGCTGTAATTTTTCCTTTTATTTTTGATGTAATGGCAGGAACCGCGAACCGGAACCTCGACGGCACTTCACTCGACTCTCCACCTCGGTATACTCCATCGCTCTTCTCATTTGCGAACTACACGTGGCCTGATTCCTTTATAGCCAAGAATATGTAGGCAGCTCAGATACCAGGGCTCGGTCACACTCTCATCTCTTTAGTTTTTGGTCTCTCCAAATAAGGGTCGGGTCAAAAACCTGTCTTGTCGTTCTTTGTCTGAAAACTCTTCGTGTTTCCAGTCAAAGAGGGGCAGCTGTAGACATGTAATTTTTGACCCTCCTCGACCCTTAGCAATTGGGAAGCTACTCATCTCCCCACCAGGAAGGAGTTTTGGTAGTTTGCTTTGTTTTCCTTTCTGTTATCTAGGTTATCCAAGGTTGTAATCCAGATTTTTATTTTTTGCTTGTTTTGATGTTCAAACCCTTCTATCCTTTTATTTTCAATGAAATGCAATTTCCCGTTTTCCATTATTCCTAATAGTGTTTCATTTTGTTTTTTCTTTTGTACAGTTCTTTTTATACTAGTTGCAATGACATGACATGCATGAGGAATTTTCAGCCAAGTCTTAAAAGTCAATCTAATTCTGAAATAATAATCTAGGAAGTAGAGTACGATGATGAAACAGAATATGATGAAGAAGCAACATTTGAGGAAATCAGTAAAGAGCTAAAACACTTTGAAGAGAAACCAAAGCCTAATTTGAATGAAACTGAAGCAATCAATTTAGGAGACCAGGATAATGTTAGGAAAACCAAGATAAGTATGCATCTGGAACCGCAAATTAAGGAAGAAATAATCAAAACATTGTTTGAGTACAAAGATGTCTTTGCATGGTCGTATGACGATATGTCGGGCTTGAGCACTGATTTGGTAGTTCATAAATTGCCAAGTGATCCAGCATTCCCTCTTGTCAAGAAAAAGTTAAGAAAGTTCAAGACTGACATGAGTGTGAAGATCAAGAAGAAATCACAAAGCAGCTTGATGCAAAGGTCATTCAGGTCACTCGATATCCCACTTGGTTAGCTAATGTTGTGCCAGTACCAAAGAAGGATGGTAAGACCAGAGTATGTGTTGATTACCGTGATCTTAACAAAGCAAGCCCAAAGGATGATTTTCCATTGCTGAACATTCACATTCTGATTGATAATTGTGCCAAGCATGAGATTGGGTCTTTTGTGGATTGCTATGCGGGATATCACCAAATCTTGATGGATGAGGAAGATGCAGAAAAAGACAGCATTCATCATGCCATAGGGAACATATTGCTACTGGGTAATGCCATTTGGTTTGAAGAATGCTGGGGCAACTTACATGAGGGCGATGACTACCATATTTCATGACATGATACACAAAGAGATGGAGGTTTATGTGAATGATGTGATCATAAAGTCGAAGAAGCAGTCCGACCATGTCAAGGACTTGAGGAAGTTTTTCCAAAGGCTCCGCCGTTATAACCTCAAGCTTAATCCAGC